AAACGACTGGCGTGCTTTGCTGAACTCGGCCAAAATCGCTTAGGCGGTTACAGCGCCAAAAAAGAAGAAGAAGAAGAATTTCTGAAAAATTAACAAAGAACTTTCAAAGTTATCTTGGCCAATATATAGAGATGACGTCGAGCGTAGCGTTGAACACTTTAATGATACTGTTTCCAATTTGTTTCGAAAGTATGTACCAAAACGTAATATTGTTCATGAAGAACCTACACAATCATGGTTCACTAAAGAGCTTAAAAAATTCAAAAATAAAAAGTCGCATTCTTTTAAACTTACACAGTGATTACATAAGTACTCGGTTTTGACGCATAGCTACTTCGCATTAAATAAGAAATGTTTTAAATCATATTTATGCAAAATTGTAAAGAATTTAATTAACAATCCTAAATCATTTTAGGTTTCGCAAATTCAAAGTGTAAGGCACATGGATTTCCGTCGGCTATGCACTATCGCAATACTGTGTCTAGCGACAGCCAACTCATTGCCAACATGTTTGCTCAGTTCTTTAGGTCCAATTATTCGGCAGACTCCTCTACGAGTGGAGACTATCCGTATGAACTTGGTACGATTAACTCAGCTTTTATTCCAGTAATTTCTTCCGATGAAGTTTTACACTATTTAAAAACCTTAAAAGCGTCATTTAGGCCTGGACCTGATCATATTCCGACTCATCCGTAAACTCGACCTAATCGGCTTTCAGCCAAGTCTTCTTGAATGGATCGCTTCTTACCTCTCTGATAGAACACAAAGAGTTATTTTTAAAAATTGTTCTTCCAACATCATTAAAGTTTCTTCGGGAGTCCCTCAGGGAAGCCACCTTGGTCCGATTCTGTTCCTTGTATTCATTAATGATATTTCTTCTATAAAAAATATACTAAAATTTTAATGTATGCCGATGATGTGAAACTTTTTAAAACATTGTCCTCTATCGAAGAAAGGTCTTTGTTACAAGCGGATCTGAACAACCTGGTTGGTTGGTTTAAAGCAAATTATATGCCAATTAACCTTAAAAATGTAAAGTTATGTGTCTGTCTCGAGGGCAGTTCAACCAGCTGTTTATTCAATTCAAATTATAATCTGGAGCAGATATCCAATTTCGTCGATCTTGTGATACCAATGGATTCCAAACTCAATTTCAACCTTCATCACAGCGTACGGAAGTGCGCGCGAGTGACGAAAGCAGCCACAGTAGCATCCTGAAATGACTCGCTTATATATACACAAGATTTGGAAGTTTTTATCCAGACGTCCAATCGACATGTTTGAGATATCGTTGGAAAGCTCATGCAGAGTGTGTCCAGAAAATGTATTCAAGCTTCATAAACGGATTCTTAAAAATTGGGATAAACTGTTGCGAAATAAAAAACATTTTTTTGCTTTTGCCGGTTTAGGGGGGTTGTGGGTACAACCAAAATATTCACTGTTATTCTATAGGCCAAGACCTTTCAAACGATAACTAATATATCTATTGAATTCCGGCTAGTAGTTGGAAAGATATAGAGCTAAATGTGTTTTGGTTCGTGTCTTCACTACGAGATGCTTTGCGATGTGTGTAGCGTCTGTACGTACCTTCATTTCATTTTTTTCAAACTTTCAGGAATTGAAGTACCAAATAAACTAGGAAGGTTTTGTTCCAGGATATTGCGATTCGTAGGCCTTTGGGGGCTCGGGATGGTGCCTGAAATTCGAAAAAAGGCAATTTTTTAAACTACCACTAAGGTCGCACTACTTATTCCATACCATTGAAGTGGACATAAGTAGAAGGGTCTTAAAACAAGCTATCTAACGCTGTCTTTATATTAGAGATGGGCATGGGCCTAAATTTTCAGGCCCGGCCCGGCACGAGTGCAAAATCAACTTTCAAAAACACGCACAAGCCCGCACGTTAAGAATTTTAGTGGGGCCCGGCCCGGCCCGGCACGACGGGACACGCCCCAGCCCGGAAATAAAGAGCCAACTTTTATTGTAGATTTTCATAATATATTTTCTGTGAAGTAGAAAAAGTGGAAGGTATTTTATGTACAGATATGTATGTAAACAAAACTACTAAGTATCATATATTTTCTATCGGTTTCCAAATATTTCTTTTTTTGCTTTTCTCTTATCAAAAGAGTTTTAAATATGTACTATTTTTTTTTTGTATAAAAACAAAAGGTCATCTAAATTTTTAGTATTAGCAACGGGCTTTTTCGTGCCTTTTCGTGCTTTTATGAAATTTTACTGAACGCCCAGGCCCGCACGAGTTCGTGCTGACAGCAAATATTCCGGCCCCTACCGTCTCTACTTTATACGCTGACGAAAATTAAACGCATTTTTTAACTGGCTTGGAAACGTATGGAAAATCTTTTTTTATTTATTCGGAACGTTGCGAAATTACAGCTAGAAACACAAAATAAAAAACAGAACTTCTGCAACGATTCGTATGAATAAAAAAGATTTTCCGTACGTTTCCAAGCCAGTTAAAAAATGCGTATAATTTTCGTCACGAAATTGATATCATAAATTTCGTGTTTCTAGCTCAGCTTTCGTCACTCGATTAGTTTACTTCAAAGAGGTGTTTTATTTGATATTAATATTACAGTCAATAAAGCCAAAGGCGTTTTAGCATTTGTAAAGCGATGGTCAAAAGATTTCAAAAATCCTTACGTTACAAAGCTCTTTTTACCACTTTGGTTAGATCTATACTGGAATCTATTGTTTGGAATAACCGGTACCAAGTTCATTCAGATAGGATTGAATCAATTCAAAAACAATTCTTTCTTTTTGCATTGCGTGATTTTAACTGGGATTCAGACTACAATCTCCCCCCTTATACTAGTCGTCTAAAGCTCATAGGGCTGGTTTCTCCAACTCAACTTAACTTAGTTAAGCCAATTTTCTTGACTTAGTCAGTGGGGTATAGTCGTTGCGCTGGGTATGGAGTTACAGTGGCATGGCTATACTCAATCCCGACTCTTGCGTCCTCGTTCGCGCACTCTGGGCAACGTGAGCAACCCATGTGCAGGATGCGGTAACCAATCCGAGTGGAGCCTTGGGTCACGGCAGAAAGAGAGGGAGCTTCGTTGGGGCCACTCCGACTTATTCGGTTGCGAAACCAACCCCGTCCCAGCAATGGGTTGTGCGCTGGGCTTGGGACCCGCCACGTAAAAACCACTTCCAGTGAATAAGCAAGGCAAAGCCTCGGATGAGCCTTATGATGACGACCACGGCAAACGTTTAAAGGACTACGATTTGAGGGCATGCACCTGGAATGTCCGGACCCTTAATGGG